AAACTTATTAGAAAAGGGTGGAGAAAAGCAGTGATTAAAATGATGGAGGAAAAAGTAACAAAGATAGTTAAACATTTCAAAAATTGTTCTATGTAATAAAACTGTAAAGAAAGCTTATATGATTTTGAAAATAGTAACAAATATTCATCAAAGGTAAATTCTATTAACTATTTTTGGTTAGGACATGGTGATTTTACAAGGGAGGTAAACTCCCTGAGTCCTTGCTTGCCTGGAAACGAGTTGATTTTTACCTCATATTTAGCAGTTTTGCGTAATCCTTAAAGACATTGCTTTGTTTCTTCCAACACTGGGTGATGGTGACAATGCGGTTTCTCTGTAGGTTACAAATTTTTTACATTTAAGAAGGTTTCAGGAACTTTTATCTCTGGTGTTCTAAATTTCATGATGCCTGTATTTATGAAGTATCTTTAGTTGCACTGTTAAGGTTGTACGGTTGTCCGGATGTCCTAAACTGACTCAAAATGTTTACCTTTCACGGTAATTTTGACTTTGGGGCAGAGCCAGAAACTGCCAGATCCAGTGAGTAAGGTACAAGAGGACTCACTGTCATCGTTTTATGATCCTGTCTTTGCTTTGAATGGCACAGGCAGCAGTATTTGTTATATTTTTTAATCACATCTTGTAAACATACAAAAGACTTCCAGAACTGACTGCTTCAGAAAGTAGAAAGAATGAAGGAAGAAATGTGTCCCAAGCAAGGGGGAGTATTTTTAGAGGGATTATTAGCAATGTGTCTCTTACTCTAATAAATTTTAAAAATTTAAATACACACCACATATTTGGATCATTTTGTATATTCCCTAACAATTTTACTCAGCACCAGCTATCTTATTTATTTTGAATAATACTGATTAACTTTAGCGCCTGGAAATTTATTCTTTGATAGGTTTTTCTTTTTCATTTTCTTTTTTTCTGAGATTCTTGTTGGCATAGTGTTGGAGTTAAACATTTTTATTTATCTTTCATATATCTCTTTTGTCTTTTTAATCCTCTAAACTCCTGGAATCTTCTTCTATCCTTCAGCTCTTCTATAGAATTATTTTAGTTTGGTGGTCATATGTTTAACACACAAAAGTTTCATTTTGTTCCATGTTCCTTTTTCATAGTACTGTATTCTGGTTTTATTTATATTTATAGTACAATCTCAAATTTAAAGCTCAACTAGAGATTTTAATAGGCTACCTTCAGGATCAATTTTTTTGTGTTTAATTTTATTCACCTTTCTCCCGCTACAGATTGCCTCCTCTAATTATCAACGCTCTTGGTTGTCCCTTCATATTAAAAGTCAGGAACAGAGCCAGGTATGCTGGCACCCTCCTGTAATCCCAACACTTTGAAGGCCAAGGCAGGAAAATAGATGTGAGTTCAAGGACAGCCTAGGCTACATGGTGAGTTCCAAACTGAAATACCAAAAGAAACAGAAAGAGCGGGGGAGGGAGGAAGAGAAGAACTGCCTGGGCACTCAGGACTCACGGAGCTTATATATGCAAGAAGATCTGATAAGACATGCCGACTGGATGTAAAGACTGAAGAAGATATTGGGCCCCACAGTAATCATTATCTTTTATTCCAGACCCCTAGAATTCTAGACTTGCAGGATGACAGTGATCAGAACTTAAGTAACTGCAGTAGGGAACTCAGGCAGATTATTGTTTCATTACAAGGCAAAAAAAAGAGAGGAGACAAGGAACTAAATTCATTTTTAGACATGTGAGAACTGCTGAGTACCAGAGTAGAAGGCTTTAGGATTCACGTCTGGT